TGGTGACACTCCCTGCACTCACTATGTCCCTGTGCATGCGCTCTGCAGGAGTGCAAAGAAATTTTATTGAAAGGGGTCTGCTCATGGTTGCATTGTTGTCACATGTAGTGACTTTCATAAATAGCTTTGGGAAAGTCATTTGGGAAAGGGAATAACAGGTGATTGATTTTTTTTCTCTCCTCCTTTATTGGATTGTATTCTGATTTGCTATACAAAGGTGTACAATTTCCGGGAAATGTGTTCACACATGCCTCCCAAATACAAGCAAGGAGGTCAACGACCCAGTGTTGTAATGGACCAGCCTGAGATCTGCTTGGGTAATCCAGCGGAGCCATTTGTCCTTTATAAGAGGGCAAATAGTGGAGGGTAGCAGGAAGCCAAGCAGAACCCTAAAGTGCTAAGACAGAGAGAGGAGAGACAGAAGAGATAAGAGGCTGAAGAGAGTTAACATCAGCCTCCAAGTTAGCTTCCAATTCTTGGTGAAACTCCCAGAGGGAGACTGATAAATCATGAAGTTAATTGCCATCATTTTCCTTTGTTCCAGGCTGCTAACAAGTTTCGCCCACCAGGACCAACCTCAAGAAATTGACTGCAATGATGAGGATGTATTTAAGGCTGTGGATGCAGCTCTGAAGAAATACAATAATGGAAGAAAAAGTGGCAACCAGTTTGTATTGTACCGCATAACGGAAGTCATCAAGACGGTAAGAGAGTTGTCTTTAACCTTGAGGTCATTTGGGATTTGTGCTATCACTTGAAACCAGGACACGCACACACACACACACACACACACACACACACACACACACACACACCACATCACACAGAAAAAAACCTGATAATTAAAGTTAGAGGCTTAGAAAAAACCAACTCTACCCTCTGGGCTGGGACTTGGGCAGGGTATGACTAGTCCTCAAGCCTCCAAGGTTGGCCTCCTGGGTAATCAGAGTACTGGTATTCTAGGCTGAAATTAAAGAAAGGTAGATGGAGTCATTTGAAAGAGACTATGTAGAGTGGGCAAATCCAGGAACTCAGTCAGGCCACAGCAAGAGAATTTTCTGGTGACCGGCCTTAAACTAAAATATAAAGACTTCCAGACCTCAAAGTGGAGGAGGTCTTTAAGGGGGTATGACTAACACATACCGTATAATCTCACACATAAATGGAATCTAAGAAAGTCAAACCTAACAGAAGCAGAAAGTAGAATGGTGGTTGCCAGAGACTTTGGGATGGGAGAAATGGGGAGGTGTTTGTCAAGGGTACAAATTTTCAGTTATAAGAAGAGCCTGGTAGCTTAGCTCAATGGATGAGTGTCCACCTATGAACCAGGAGGTGGTGGTTCAATTCCCAGTCAGACACATGCCTCGGTTGCAGGCTTGATCCCCAGTGTGGGGTGTGCAGGAGGCAGCTAATCAGTGATTCTCTCTCATCATTGATGTTTCTATCTCCTCTCCTTTTTCCCTCCTCTTTGAAATCAATAAAAATATATTTTAAGAAAATAAAGTGAGTAAGATCTGGGGGTCTAATGTACAGCATGGTGAATAGAATTAATATTACTGTATTTTATGTTTGAAATCTGCTAAAGGGCTAGATTTTAAGAGTTCTCACCACACACAAAACAGGTAATTATGTGAGTTAACAATGTGTTAATTAGCTTATTTGTGGTAATCATTTCACAATGTATACATATAGCAAATCATCTTTTCATATACTGAAATATATGTAATTTATTTTTACCTCAAAAATATACCCCAATAAATATACCCCAATAAATTATACCTCAATAAAACTAGAGTGAATGAGGGGCAGTGGGGTATGTCAAGAGGAGTCAGAAAAGAAGCTAATATAGTTCTACTATATTAGATAAAATATCTACCATAAAGTCCCGATGGCTGAATGCATCAAGGGTAACAACAAGGTTCTAGTTGGTTTAGAATATTCTCTATCCCTGATGGATACACTCAGGTTGAAGATAAATCCTGACAGGATGTGTGATTCCAAGAAATAAAACTGGATGCATCAAAACTATTAGGTAAGGGGGATGGGATGGAGGGTTTAGTTGTGATTTTGTTGTTGTTGTTTATATGAAAACATTCAGAATGATGAAGCTGAAAGGGAAAAAAATCAAAATCAAACAACCTTTAGCTTTATTTCTCTTTAAAGTTAATCATCATCTCTTGATAAAGGAAAGGTTAAGCAAACTGGTCTCAGCGGACCAGTCTTCTCTCCAAGGACATCCCCAGGAAGAGTTTGTCTGGGTGGCTTTGAAAACAAGCAAATCAGACACAACACAAGAGCACTTAAAGAATTTATATGGTATCATGTATCTCTGTGTTGGTGCATTCCACAGAACATATGCATATTTGACACACTGCCTTGTTGCATAACTGATCTATTTATTATCGCATATAGATATCATAATGTCATTGAGGGAGTGATACCACAGGACATTATAAATACGTGGTCCCATGGATGCTCTTTTTTGCACTGTGCTTGACATCCCAAGTCCAATGACCTTACTCATATACCATGACTCTCTCCACCAACTTTTTCCAACTCCTTTAATTCATTACATTCTGTGTTTTCCACCTTTTGTTGTTCCAGTTCAAAAAATTAACTAGGGGGACTAAATAACTACCCTGATTTTCTTCTTTGTGGTCTTTTTCCTGAACTTTGGGGCCCAGTCTTTGGCTGCATCCATATAATGGTCTTGGACACTGTAGAAAAAGCATCAAATAGGATCATATGACTTATTGTCTAGCCTTAGTTAATAAACCTGTGGGACTTGTATATATATATATATATATATATATCATTGATTTCT